CATTGTGGAAAGCAGTATGGAGGTTCCTCAAAAGACTCAAAATAGAAATACCATTTGACCCAGGAATTCCACTCCTAGGAATTTACCCTAAGAATGCAGCAGCCCAGTTTGAAAAAGACAGATGCACCCCTATGTTTATTGCAGCACTATTTACAATAGCCAAGAAATGGAAGTAACCTAAGTGTTCACCAGTAGGTGAATGGATGAAGAAGATGTGGTATATATACCCAATGGAATATTATTCAGCCATAAGAAGAAAACAAATCCTACCATTTGCAACAACATGGAGCTAGAGGGTATTAAGCTCAGGGAAATAAGCCAGGTGGAGAAAGACAAGTATCAAATGATTTCACTCATCTGTAGAGTATAAGAACAAAGAAAAAACTGAAGGAACAAAACAACAACAGGCTCACAGAACCCAAGAATGGACTAACAGTTACCAAAGGGAAAGGGACTGGGGAGGATGGGTGGGAAGGGAGGGATAACAGGGATAAAGGGGCATTACGATTAGCACACATAATGTAGCAGTGGGGGGACACAGGAAAGGCAGTATAACACAGAGAAGACAAGTAATGGTTCTATAGCATCTTACTACACTGATGGACAGTGACTGTAATGGGGTATGTGGTGGGGACTTGATAATAGGGGGAGTCTAGTAATCATAATGTTGTTCAAGTAATTGTACATTAATGTTACCAAAAAAAAATATTCTGCTATTGTCACTTTGCCTAGAGCCATGAGGGCTAAATCACTAGTCAAAAACAAGCTGCAGGAACAGAATTCCACCAGGTGACCCCACCATACACAACAAGAGACTGTGGTTTTGCTTTGATACTATAGCTTAGAAAGATACTTCTAAGGACTTGCTGGAAAAAGTTAGTCTATTTCAAATGAATTCTGGGCTAGGAATGTGAAGGCCAAGTACCAAGAAAGAAAATGCAAAAAAATTAGTTAAAGAATGTATCTGTTTTGTCCCCCAAGAATTTCTGATTTATTAACCCAACTGGAAAAGGTATTATAAAATTCTGTTTTGCATTGATAAGTTAAATAATATGTATTCATATTTCTGTTCTCACATTGATTTTTAAAGAATGCATGAAATACTGCAGCACAGTATCTGTAGTTTCAGGTGTGGGTAATTCCTTTAACTACTAAAAATAAAAAACATAAGAATCTGAGTTTTTTTCTTTTTTAAATCCCTCCTGGGGCACTACCATTAACATGAAACAAAGAGAAGACAGTGTGATTGTCCTAATTAGTTTTTGTTCCAGAGTTGAGCTGTCCATGTAACTATAAAGTGCTTGAAATATGACAAGTTTGTATTGAGATATACTGTAAGTGCATAATACTCTTTGAATTTCAAAGACTAAGTATGAAAAATGGAAAGGATCTCATTAATAGCTGTTTATTACAGATTGAAATGGTAGTTTGGATATATGGGTTAAGTAAAATGTTAAAAGTAATTTTATCTATTAATACCCTTTGAAATGTAGTCAATAGAAAAATTTAAATGACATATGTGGCTTGTAGTGTATTTCTGTTGGACAGTGTTGATCTAATAGTATTAATTCTCAATTGTAGGTGTGATTCAGAATTATGGGAGGAGCTTTTTCAAAAAGTGATTTCCCGGACTTTAGTTCAAAATAAACCAGAATTTTGAAAGTCAAGACCCAGTGTGTGTATTTTTAAAATACTTCCTAGATTATTCTGAGAATCATTAATCTACAGGTTAGTGGACATAACTGTGCCCATGAGCTTTTACAGGACTGGGAATGGAATGGACACTCATAGAAAGTGTCCTCTAACTTATTTCTGTAAAAAAAAAAAAACAATATTGCTTATTGCTTGTTTGTTCAAAACAATAAGAATAGGAAAGAATAAAAGTACTGGAGTCAGAAAAAAAGCTGGAACTTGGCTCAAAGCTAGCTAAAACTAAGAGATCCTAGAGTTCTTTTATAAGGTGAGCAGGCTTTTTTACATAATAAAAAATTTTACTGGTCTTTGTCCCTGGTTCTTGGGAGAGACTCTAAATCCTTAGAATTTCATAAGTAATGGAAGTGTCTTCATTATTCTGAGCCCCTTGGATCACACATGACTTTACGCTAATAGATGAGATGGGACATGGGCTGAGTGCTCACTAGAAGGACCCACTATGTGATTAGAAGGTCGGGGGCTTTAGGCCAGCTGGACCTCTGTGGGGTGGGGGGTGGGGGTAGGGGCAGGACTGGAGATTGAATTTAGTCATGTGGCTTATGATTCAATCAATCATGCCACTGTAATAAAATCCTGATAAAAACTCTGGACACTGAAGCTCAATAGAACTTCCTAGTTGGTGAACACATTGATACGCTGGGAGGATGATATACCCTAATACACAGAGAAAGAACAGAAAAGCTCTATGTTTAGGACCCCCCTAGACCTTACTCTATGTGTGTCTTCATGTGGCTGGTGCTGATCTGTGTCCTTTATGATAGAACTGTACTTGTAAATATAGTGCTTTCCTGATTTTTGTAAGTTGTCCTAGTGAAATATTGAACCTGAGGGGGGGTTATGGGAACCCCCAAATTTGTAGCCAGTTGGCTAGAAGTATAGGTGGCCCAAGAACCCTACTGTGGCCCCATTTGAAATAGAGGCAGTTTTGTAAAGAACTGAGCCCTTAACTTGTGTCATCTAACTCCAGGTGGTTAGTGTCAGAATTGAACTGCAGTACACCAGCTCATGTCAGAATAAGGCCATGATTCCAAAGTGTAATGAAATCATTTGTAAGAAAATATAAAATCTTATAAAAATAAATTCAAGGTAGGAAATCTGTAACAACTGAGTAAGTTATACTCTAAAACTAAATATATCATTTTGTGATTAAATGTGATAATACATTTTGTATTCCATAAAATATAATACATTTATATTCCAAATTAACAAAGGACTTTAGATCTAAAATAGCATTAAAGCAATTTTAACATTTTTCTGGTTTCCACAAAGGTTTTTTATCTTTCCTCCTTTATTGGCCCTTAAATTCACCTTTACATCTACACCAATAATAATAATAATGGTAATAATAATCCAGCAGTTTGTAATTTTATATACACACAACCCAAAAAGACTGAGGAGAGTACAGGATTATGGCTCTGTTCAAGTCTGATCTTTATCCTAGGGGTGTGAATACCTCAGATGCTGAGAGGGACAAGTAAACAGATTTTAAAGATAGATCAGGAATAATCAAGATTTGCATCCTTCAGATGGAAAGGTAAATAAAATTTCTTAGCAAAGAGTTAAGAAGCATTTCTCTCATTTTCCAGTCAACTTTCCCTTCCCCAGACTGGACTGTTTTTTTAAATTTTTATCCTCAAATAAAAAAGTAGGACAGGGAGAGCATTAGAAAGACAAGAGGAGCAATGAGGAGGGAAGGAAATCAGAAGCAGCTCAGAAGCCTGACTACAAATCACTGTCTGAAGGGAAGAGGTAGTGGAAAGCTGGAAGAAAAGGAGAATGTTCTGAGAATTACAAAAGAGCATTAAGTATAGCATGTAGTTCTCTACAATTATTCAAAGAATGCAGGCAAAGAAAGAAGACAGTGCTGAGCCCACGTGTGCCATGAGTACTGTGCCGCTCGCTGAAGGACAACCATTCGTTTCTAGAAAATGAGATTCTGAAATCCACAGAGGCAAAAATGTACAAAGAGATGCTTGCTAAATCAAGGATATATGCCTTTTTCTGCCAGCCATAAGGTATTTTCGAGGCAGAGAAGGGAAAGGACCTTCTGAGACAAAGAAGTACTTTTTCTGAAGATGCCTCTGCTCATCTGCTGACCTCTGCTGGATCAACAGTGGCATCCAGTGGCCAAAAGTCTCAGCACAGACTTCTTTGTCTGTAGGAAGGGTTTCTATTGCTTGGGTGAGTGGCAATTCAGAACAAAACCATTTCGATGTCTGTAACTAAGGATCCCTAAAGACACAGTGCTTTCAAAGTGAAGAACCAAAGGCCATAAAGAAAAAAATGGAGGGGGACAGCTTAAGATTGCTGTGGTATTTGTATTTCCTGTGGTATTACTGAAAGAATAAAAATACAGGAGGTATAAACATACATGTGGGTGTAATTCCTAGGTTTTCACTGTTTCAGAATACTTTAAAAATAAATCAATGGACAAGATAAAGTATTTTCATTTTAAAATCAAAGCAATCCTGAAACAAATTTCCATATGTACATTTTATTTTTTAAAGGGGTTAGAAAGGGAAAAATAACTAAATTAGCATGGCTTAAGTGATTTACTTGAATTTAAGCTGAGTTTCAACTGCTAAATTCAATTGTCTGTTTTTAAGGAGATAAGTGGCTCAGGTATAACCTTAATCTATAGCAAACATACAGAAAAGCATACCATCCAAAATATTTTTACGTTCCAATTACTGACTTAAACTGCTAAAAAAGTATTTTCCTGGCAAAGTTTCAGCAAGTAATATGCTAGCAAATTCTTCATAACTTAAAAAGAAAAGAACTGCTTCTTCAGTGACATAATACAGGCATGAATGGAATAATCCTAAATTTTTATCTTAATTAGACCACATATCTCTCCAGGTCATAGATTTAAAAAACAAAAAAGTGGGCACCAAGAGGCTCTTATCTCAGGGCGGGAAGAAAAGAAAGGGGGCATTACGATTAGTGTGTATAGTGTTGGGGGGGGCACAGAGAGGGCTGTGCAACACAGAGAAGACAAGTAGTGATTTTACAGCATCTTACTATGTTGATGGACAGTGACTGTGAACGGGGATGTGGGGGGGGGGGAGTTGGTGAAGGGGGGAGCCTAGTAAAGATTGTCCTTCATGTAATTGTAAATTAATGATACCAAAATAAAATTTTTTAAAAAAAGAGGCTCTTATCTCATGGCTTACATTTGTTCATATTCTGCTCTAAATTTCTAGCTAAAAGAAATATGTAATTGTTATACACTTTATTCCCTTAATGCTCCTGATTGAGCTCAGATGCACGCACCAGCTCAAACTCACCTGTTTGGATGAGATGTGGGCAGCATGAACTGGAATTCCACCACGCAGGTGTTGTCCTTCAGTTGGCGATGTTGTACACTGTTAAGTTCATAGGCAATATAAGCCCTTCGAACATACACCTGGTTAAAAAGCAATCCTCAGTATAAGTACACTTTGAAAACAGAAACTAAGAGATAATTAGCCAAAGAAAAAGAGTCTTGAGAAGAGGTATCTGATGCAGAAGATAGACTGTGGTGACAGAAGTCCCAATATTCTGTATATAAGTATCTTGCTTTAATTAATAAAACTGGAGTCTTAAAACTATACCCATGACTATAAATGGAAAGAAAACTAGCCTGTCTCTGCTGGACACTCTAGATATGTCATAATTCTTTCACACTAACCTAAATCCAGATGGTTTGATCTCTGGCAAAAGAGAACATATAGAACCACAACTATTAACTAACTAAGCAAGATAATTTCAACAGAAGATAAAAGTAAGCAAGCAGTGAAAAAAATGAGAGGAGCTGATTCTGGGCCACTTGAGTGAAGACAGAAAATAGAAACAATTGCAGTACAATTCAACTCTTTTATTATCTTGTATCTTTGTTTTGTTTTCCCACTGCCCAGAACCAATTTTAGATTATTTATATCCCCTAAACCTAAGCAAAAGCAGTAAGGCATAACTTGACATATCTCAAACACACTAACTTGACTCTAGAGTCAAAGAAACAGCAAGAGGCAGCATCTCAGCAAAACCATCAGTCCAACCTTGCTTAGTTCACAGCCAATTTGCCATGCTCATAAAATGCTACATGAGATTCTATCAGCACGTGAGGTATATAAGGAGACTTCTCATTAAATGGCATGGAAGCATTATAAAACACTTATTTTTAAAACTTGGTATTTACCTAGTATGACATATTACATTCTAACCATGGAATACAAATAAAAAGTAACCCACAAGAGCTGTAGTAATGTCATATTACATTAAATCATCTAAAACATTCCTTTTCCTCATCTTCAAAAAAACATCAACTTGGCAATTTTACAGCAGTATTCAGAGCCTGTACTTTTTGTACTTAATGAAGTAGTGAGCTGCAGTGAAAACAGAACTCTGTAGTCAGATTAACCTGGGTTCAAATGCAAACTCTTCCAATTATATGTGTGAATTTGAACAAGTCACTTAACCTCTCAGAGTCTCATTTTCTTCTTACTTCATGAAGTGGTTGCAGGATGAGAAAAATAAAGCAAAGCAACTAAAACAATTAGTTGAATGTCATTACTTTCTTTCTCATGAAGAAATATTTCCTAAGAGGGGCTTGACAATTCAGAATATATATAACTAGAATCCATTTTATTTGGCCCAAATCACAAACTGCTGCATGATGTAATCAGCCATATATTGTTTCACTCATTGTGTTACAGGGAATTTTAATTCATTATGAAATGGGAGAATTCAAATAAATACCTGGAAAGTAGAGGCTATTGAAAAATGCTGACAGCTGTTTTCCTGTGATTGGAGCCCAGAAGCTGGTGATTAGTTCAGCTGAAACACTTGAGTAAAAGCAAGACCGTAGTTCAGCGTTTGTTTCAGAGAAAAACACCCTATTCTTAAGAACTGACCTTAAGGCCAAAGAAAAAGGACCAATACAGAAAAACTCAACTAGGAACCAAGAGAAAGGTCATGCCGCTTATTATAACAGCTCACCTCCAAAGCTGCCATCCTCACTACTTGGTTGCTGTGATAGAAGAAGTTTGGCAGGACATCAAAAATAGATGTTTCAGACAAGATGAGTTTCTAGAAGGTAAAAAAGACAAGCTAAACAATTATATCTGGAAGAGGACAGTTTCAATGGGCATACTTAGCATTTGAGGTATTCAGTGAAGCTTAAGAATCTATGAGTGTCCCGTATGAACTTACTTTCTATATGCCTCAGCTTCCTCAGCTATAAAATGGGGAAAACAGTTAAGACCTATCCACAGAGGGCTGTTGTGAGCATTAGAAGAGTTAATATATGTAAAGTTATTAGAATTATACATTAAGCAATATAAGTGTTTGTGACTGTTACCTTTCTGACACATATCTATACTCAACTTCCTAGACATTGCCTCAATTCTCCATTATGGTAAACCATAGGCTTGAACCCCACTTGAAACCCTGTCTCAACTCTGAACCAAATAAACAAAATATCCTTTTTTCCTAAGTTCCTCCAAGGGAAATCTGACAGAAAGCCTGAAGATTCCCTTGGCTAGATAAACAACACCATCCTCATTTTCAGGTAGAAAAGTAGAAAGTTATTCCTGAGAAAATGATATTTAAAAAATAATAGTCAAGGTCTTCGAATTAGGAGTAAAATTAGCCAATACTCTTTTGTAAAATTGGCTCTGTACAAAGCTTAATAGTAGACATTAAAATAAAATAAAATAAAATTACTATTTAAGTAGCTTTGTTTCTAGAAGACTAACCATTACCTATTTATACATCTGAATCAAATATCAGAAGTCAATTCGTGCTACCATCTGATTCTAGCCTAGAATACTTTCTAGATAAATGCTCAAGAAGTAAAGACTTCAATAGGACTCCTATCAAGGCAGACCAATTTGATTTTTAAGCTAAACCATAAGTCTAGCAGCATTTTTATGAAAAGATATTCATAAGTTTAAATCATTTTAGAAAGTCAAGGCATGAAACTTCATTACACAGAAAATCAAAGGTGATTGATTGATCACTTAATTAAACTATGCTTGGGAATAAACACAACAAGAGTGCAGAGTGGAAGAAAAGGGCTGTATATATACCTGCAGATTCTCAATGCAAAACTGATGTCCGTACATGTCAATAGCTGATAGGAAGATAGACTCGACTTGGTTATGGCGAAGTTCATATGATGGCAAATGGGAGGCAATAAGAACCTAGAGTGAGAGCAAAATAAGAGGCATAAGTTCCTGAGGGAGTGATTATTCTAGGCTCCTATTAGGCAGCTCTGATACAAAAGCAATAAATATAAATCTGTAAGTGCAGGCATCAAAGATAAAACAGAGACCAAGTAAAACAACTTCTAGGTCCTGTAACATAAAACCAATGCCACCATGTACTGCATCTCAGTTGACTCTCACTATGATTTGCATTGTGGGCAATTTCCCGTGGGGGATTAGCGGAAGGGAGAGCAAACAGCTTCAATCAGGTTCCATCAGTGCATGTGATTTACCATTGTAAAGTTGCTAGTCCTGGGAACTGCAGACTGGCTGTTAATTGGGAATAAGGGATGGCAGGAGCAGCTGTGGGGAAGGTACATGCAGCACTGCTACTAGCCTTTTGCAACTCTGAAGTAGAAAGACTACAAAAAGCTGCTCAGACAGCCCCAGGTACTTACTATCAAGGAGAAGGTGTCAGGATGTAACACCAATGCACTTGAGGGGCAGAGAGACTGAAAACAGTGTCACAAACAAACAGGGACACGGCAGGACCTGAATACTCCCAGCAGGTTACTGAGAGGTTCAATAACTTTGAGCAATTCAGTGACATGGATACAATTGTAGAGAAAGCAGAAGGTCACTGAACAGCTTCAAATGTGGCTCCCTAGTCAGTGCCCATGCACTGACACACAAAGGGAGCGCTAACTCTCAGCTTCCCTGATGAAACCTTTTCGAGTAGAAATGAAGACCTACAGGGTAAAACTAACTGGACTTCTCTGAGGTTGTTATGATTGCTGGCACCTAACATTCATTTCATTATCTTTCTGCTTCCACGCTTGATTTTCTCCTATACACTTAAAAGTTTTCACCTGCTTCTAAGCTCCCTTTAGGAAATAAGAAATATTGAATCTACTGCATTCCCTCAGTTTCCTTTCGTCTACATGGCCCTGGTTCACTATCACCAGGCTACTATAAAGGGTAGGGAATAGTAATAGTATTCTATAATGGGAAAGGACCCCAGTTTTAAAAAGACTCAACGTTAACCTTTTCCTTTCTCTTTAAAAAACATGCCACATGAAAACATTTGTTCTGAGGGCAATAAGACATACACAGAAAATTGCATGTTCTGTCAGGTAACTGACTAGAAGTTCATTGTCTGCTCAATCTATGAAAACCATTTGTCCCTCCAGATAACCAACACATTTCCTTACCTGGCGTGCTCGAAGTGCCACTTTAGCATTAGTGGTCTTACTGAGCTGAGTTAGCTCTGTGAGGATATTCAGCAGCTCATCAGTCAGAGTAGGGTCTCGGCCACACAACTGATCCTAGTTGTTAATGTGAAAAAAGAGTACACATCCACATTAAAAAGAACTGAAGTGAACAGAACTTTGAAATGGGAAAGGGAATTAAAGTAAACATGGCTAAGTTAATAAGAAAATGCAAACCTCCTGTTACTTTTATCCTAAACAATATGGTAAAGAAGATCCCAGAGGAAGTTGCTGCTAAGGAGAAGCCCAAATTCCTCAGTTATTCGGATTCAAAATCCCTAATATATTTCTTTATAAATCAACATTATACTTTCAGCATGCAGAAGAAGTCATCAGAGACCATTAAAAGGGGTCAGGGGATTCTGAGTAAGAAATAACAGATGATGTCTCAAAGTTTTAAGAGGTTTTAAATAATATAAGGGACTACAGGCTGTCCTGTTTCCTATCCTAATTTTGGAAATAAGGCAAAAGGAACCACTCCTGGTGGTTTTCATTCCACAAACCAAATGTTCAGAGCCCCATGAGGGTGCAAAACAGAAACATGAGAACAAATTACTCATTTATAAACACACACTAAATAAAAACACCAACTTATATTCTGACAATTCTACACCCCAAATCATTTATGCTCTTGCTGTACCAAAAATCATTACACAATATCTAGTATCTATGATCATTCCACAACATCTACGTATGGTGAATCATCAGGTGGATTAGAGAAAAACCAAGCTCTTACTATATAACCCAGTGTTGGGTCCTTCTCCTCCTTAAAATTAAAAATTAAGAAGAAACCTCTATCATATTTTGAGAAAAATATTTCTTTTCCAGTGGAATATTGGTTTATTACCTAAATTCATCCATTACCCATGTAATTTTCATCTAAGCTGAAAAAACAGATTCAACTTTTATAAACATCTGTCCTTCTTGAAGTTTACAGAGCTAGTGACAGTGGCTGTACTTCATACCTACATAACATATATATGTTTAGGTATAGTTCCCTCTACTTGGAGTTTGAAATAATTGCCTTCATAGTTTAGTGAATTTTTATTCTCTCTTTATTAATAGCACATGAAAGATGACCAGATCCTAAAAGCCTTCCTGTTGGTTTCTAATCTTCTCCCTACCCTGATTAGCAAGCAGGCTTTTCTTGAAGAATCTTCATTTCACTCTTAACCTTCCCCACCTCAGGGATACATTTTAAAGTCCTTTACCACAGCAATACAAATAAAAGTTAGGGATTTTTGGCTTTTGGAGTAGATATGCATTTCCAAAAACAATTTTTCTACTGGGTAAATAGTTGTCATAGGGTAAATAGTTACTGAGTACTCAACACCATTATGCTGGAAAGAAAACATTATGAAGCAGGAAATACTTTCTGGTTCCCCAGTCCACCAACCAGAGGTGTGCTCCAACTGGCCAGAGTTGTAAAAAACATGGTGGGATTTATAGTTAAGGATGGCAAGTATTGTTTTCACCTATTTAACACAGGGAATTCACTGACCTGAGTGGGAAGAGGAAAAGCTGCTATTAAAGCGACTATAAATCCAGGGTTCAGTTGAGCATGTAGTCACAGACCAGAGGACCTGTTCTACCTATCCTAGAGCATAAAAGCAAAGGGGAAATGCAACTAAGTCTCATCTTTTGTTGAGAACTAAAGAGAAATAAAGAATTTCAAGGGAATATATGAATTCACAGAGACAAGAACATAAAAAGACAGAAGGAAAGAAGAAACAGGTAACAATAGGTGAGGAAACCAAGATAAGTTTCTCCTACCTAAATCCCTCTTTATCTAATGTTCCCAATAAAAACATATTCCTTTCTGTGGTACTTACTTCAATCATCAGAATAACCCACTGAAATATCTAAAAACCTAAGAAGTGTCCTGGATAATACAATTGAACTATTCTGCAAATAGCCAGACTAAAGTCTCAACATTAACAACAAAAGCCACCATGACAAAATAAGAACACCTGCCACTTATCCAACCTATATTAGATTTTATATGGAATGTTTCCCTTGAAAGGAAATCCAGGTTTACCTCTTGAGATTAAACTAAATAAATATAAATGGAGTTATCCTCTTGCCTAACTACAAATTGTGTTCTAACTTAAAAAAACAAAATAATATACAAAAACCACTTTTTAAAAAAACTACTTGTTCATCTCATCTTTCCAGTATGAGAAGAAGGAGTGAGAAAGGGAGTAAGGAAAGAGAAACAGTATCTGTAAGAAAAATGAATGAGAGATTAGAAAAAATAAGGAAGTAGTTATTTGTTCACAATAATTCCTGGGCTCCTGTGATAAAGTACAGAAACCAGACCTTTGGGGATGCGCAATACCCAACACATATGAATAAACCACACTTTCCTTAGTCTATTCTAATTTGGAAATGCTCCATCCAAATATTATTTTTTTCACTGTCACCATTAGTACTTAGAAAAAGATTGACAATAGAAAATTATGTGTATAGTAACCTTCTCAACTCTCTCTTGTCCTTGACATAGACACAATGTTCAGGTCCTGAAAGAAACCACCAGAGATGGAAGACTAATATGTTTATGAGAACCACCCGTCCTAAGATACAAATATCCAAAAGTGAGTTTACGGCCCTCTAGCTTATAGACAGACTTTCTTTGGACAACTGGACAGCCCAACATCACATCTAATTCTGGTGAACATTTGTAGCAATGGTGACTTGTCAGCAAATGTGTTTCCTCAATGTAAAGAGGTTCACTTAATGAGCACATCTGCTCAATTGGGATTACAGGTCACTTAAATAAATCTGTAGGCCAAAGTAAAAATTATTATTCAGTAATGGTTCAGATTGGTATCACCCAGCTATTTCTTATTTTTATTTTTAACCTGGGTAGTGGCTAACCACAGGGAGTATTTCAGATTTACAGAAATATAACGAACATGTGTCAAAATCATAGTCAAAGTTAAGCAACCAACTGCCAGAAGAGCCCCAAAATAGTCCAACTTGATCTGAGCATCCTAAGATTTGAAGGCAATTAAAAAGGAAAAGAATGTAATCCATGTGTAATGCTGTCAAGACATTAACTATTGTTCAGCTAAGTGAGGCACTGATCCCAGTATCAGCAGTGACTGCTGGCTTCTTCCAGTCACAGCTGGACTTACTGATATTACATTCTAAGTGTGTCACAGGACACGTTTAACAAGAAATAGTAAATAGCACCCCTATTCAGTAAACAGGGTTTACTGAGAGAGATTTTTATTTACTTACACATTGGACAAAATTATTTGCAGTTATGTTAAGAGGAGGGAGGAAAGATGCTGATTAGCATTTGAAATATTCCCTGGCTAAACCAAATCAAAAGCTCACAGATATGGTATTATTCATATTATTCAAGGAAGCATGGTTTGTATCATGTTCATGTGGACCATACCAAAATAAGAAATGAGTAATGAGGGGAAGACTATTCAGCATCAAGATGGTTACAGGATATGTACTGGGCTGTCTAGACAGCTATGAGGATGTTAAAAGAATTTAGTAAACATAATGTTCTAAGCTTTTCCTATAAAATTAAAGTAAGATATAAGAAGAGCTTTCAAAAAATAAACTTACTGTTGGTTTTTCAGACTTTGTTTTCAAGTGCAGCACAATATTCCTCCAAGTGGAGAAAACTGGACAGGATATTAGCATTTTACTTTATATTTTGCTTTCCAGATAGGGTGAAAGATTAGCAGAAATTTGCTGGAGAGTCTTTGAAGCAAGTTAGCACTAGACAAGTTACACTAATACCTGGAGGGAAGGAAGGCTTCCTTGGAGCAGCTTACAGTTCTAACATTGACACATGGAAGCCTGATTTTTTTTATCCCTCCCTCTAGGTTCAAAAGCCCCAGAAATCATTATCTAGCTCAGCAAGGACACCAGCAATATTCCTGCTTCTAGAAAGCAGAGATTGGAATGCTGGGCACATAATTATCAATCAGGAAGCCGAGGTAGGCAAAAAAAGGAGAGCCAGCAGAGAACACAAGCTGGGAGAATCAAGTGCTACCATGTGCAGATGAGATGTGTAAAAGACAGGAAGACCTACAGAAAGAGTAATCCAAACAACTCAAATGGCTTGTAAAGGTACCACCATCAGTGTAGATGTTGGGTACAGGGAGAGACTGGGGGACCTGACCATTGTCAAAGAGAGAGAAGGCCACGTCTGGCCTTTGTAATATGAGATCAGAAAGGAACACCTCTTGAGCTTTTACCCCTGCTGCACACGTCACTGCTACGTGGCCCTCAGCTCAGTCACTTCATTAACTTCTTGATTTCCAAATCTCTAAGATAACATGAAAGTAACTAATATTTCAAAAGAAATTAAAATGACACAAAAGCCTATAGACCCTACTATGCTTACCTAATTGTACTTACTATCAAGGAGAAGGTGTCAGGATGTAACACCAATGCACTTGAGGGGCAGAGAGACTGAAAACAGTGTCACAAACAAACAGGGACACGGCAGGACCTGAATACTCCCAGCAGGTTACTGAGAGGTTCAATAACTTTGAGCAATTCAGTGACATGGATACAATTGTAGAGAAAGCAGAAGGTCACTGAACAGCTTCAAATGTGGCTCCCTAGTCAGTGCCCATGCACTGACACACAAAGGGAGCGCTAACTCTCAGCTTCCCTGATGAAACCTTTTCGAGTAGAAATGAAGACCTACAGGGTAAAACTAACTGGACTTCTCTGAGGTTGTTATGATTGCTGGCACCTAACATTCATTTCATTATCTTTCTGCTTCCACGCTTGATTTTCTCCTATACACTTAAAAGTTTTCACCTGCTTCTAAGCTCCCTTTAGGAAATAAGAAATATTGAATCTACTGCATTCCCTCAGTTTCCTTTCGTCTACATGGCCCTGGTTCACTATCACCAGGCTACTATAAAGGGTAGGGAATAGTAATAGTATTCTATAATGGGAAAGGACCCCAGTTTTAAAAAGACTCAACGTTAACCTTTTCCTTTCTCTTTAAAAAACATGCCACATGAAAACATTTGTTCTGAGGGCAATAAGACATACACAGAAAATTGCATGTTCTGTCAGGTAACTGACTAGAAGTTCATTGTCTGCTCAATCTATGAAAACCATTTGTCCCTCCAGATAACCAACACATTTCCTTACCTGGCGTGCTCGAAGTGCCACTTTAGCATTAGTGGTCTTACTGAGCTGAGTTAGCTCTGTGAGGATATTCAGCAGCTCATCAGTCAGAGTAGGGTCTCGGCCACACAACTGATCCTAGTTGTTAATGTGAAAAAAGAGTACACATCCACATTAAAAAGAACTGAAGTGAACAGAACTTTGAAATGGGAAAGGGAATTAAAGTAAACATGGCTAAGTTAATAAGAAAATGCAAACCTCCTGTTACTTTTATCCTAAACAATATGGTAAAGAAGATCCCAGAGGAAGTTGCTGCTAAGGAGAAGCCCAAATTCCTCAGTTATTCGGATTCAAAATCCCTAATATATTTCTTTATAAATCAACATTATACTTTCAGCATGCAGAAGAAGTCATCAGAGACCATTAAAAGGGGTCAGGGGATTCTGAGTAAGAAATAACAGATGATGTCTCAAAGTTTTAAGAGGTTTTAAATAATATAAGGGACTACAGGCTGTCCTGTTTCCTATCCTAATTTTGGAAATAAGGCAAAAGGAACCACTCCTGGTGGTTTTCATTCCACAAACCAAATGTTCAGAGCCCCATGAGGGTGCAAAACAGAAACATGAGAACAAATTACTCATTTATAAACACACACTAAATAAAAACACCAACTTATATTCTGACAATTCTACACCCCAAATCATTTATGCTCTTGCTGTACCAAAAATCATTACACAATATCTAGTATCTATGATCATTCCACAACATCTACGTATGGTGAATCATCAGGTGGATTAGAGAAAAACCAAGCTCTTACTATATAACCCAGTGTTGGGTCCTTCTCCTCCTTAAAATTAAAAATTAAGAAGAAACCTCTATCATATTTTGAGAAAAATATTTCTTTTCCAGTGGAATATTGGTTTATTACCTAAATTCATCCATTACCCATGTAATTTTCATCTAAGCTGAAAAAACAGATTCAACTTTTATAAACATCTGTCCTTCTTGAAGTTTACAGAGCTAGTGACAGTGGCTGTACTTCATACCTACATAACATATATATGTTTAGGTATAGTTCCCTCTACTTGGAGTTTGAAATAATTGCCTTCATAGTTTAGTGAATTTTTATTCTCTCTTTATTAATAGCACATGAAAGATGACCAGATCCTAAAAGCCTTCCTGTTGGTTTCTAATCTTCTCCCTACCCTGATTAGCAAGCAGGCTTTTCTTGAAGAATCTTCATTTCACTCTTAACCTTCCCCACCTCAGGGATACATTTTAAAGTCCTTTACCACAGCAATACAAATAAAAGTTAGGGATTTTTGGCTTTTGGAGTAGATATGCATTTCCAAAAACAATTTTTCTACTGGGTAAATAGTTGTCATAGGGTAAATAGTTACTGAGTACTCAACACCATTATGCTGGAAAGAAAACATTATGAAGCAGGAAATACTTTCTGGTTCCCCAGTCCACCAACCAGAGGTGTGCTCCAACTGGCCAGAGTTGTAAAAAACATGGTGGGATTTATAGTTAAGGATGGCAAGTATTGTTTTCACCTATTTAACACAGGGAATTCACTGACCTGAGTGGGAAGAGGAAAAGCTGCTATTAAAGCGACTATAAATCCAGGGTTCAGTTGAGCATGTAGTCACAGACCAGAGGACCTGTTCTACCTATCCTAGAGCATAAAAGCAAAGGGGAAATGCAACTAAGTCTCATCTTTTGTTGAGAACTAAAGAGAAATAAAGAATTTCAAGGGAATATATGAATTCACAGAGACAAGAACATAAAAAGACAGAAGGAAAGAAGAAACAGGTAACAATAGGTGAGGAAACCAAGATAAGTTTCTCCTACCTAAATCCCTCTTTATCTAATGTTCCCAATAAAAACATATTCCTTTCTGTGGTACTTACTTCAATCATCAGAATAACCCACTGAAATATCTAAAAACCTAAGAAGTGTCCTGGATAATACAATTGAACTATTCTGCAAATAGCCAGACTAAAGTCTCAACATTAACAACAAAAGCCACCATGACAAAATAAGAACACCTGCCACTTATCCAACCTATATTAGATTTTATATGGAATGTTTCCCTTGAAAGGAAATCCAGGTTTACCTCTTGAGATTAAACTAAATAAATATAAATGGAGTTATCCTCTTGCCTAACTACAAATTGTGTTCTAACTTAAAAAAACAAAATAATATACAAAAACCACTTTTTAAAAAAACTACTTGTTCATCTCATCTTTCCAGTATGAGAAGAAGGAGTGAGAAAGGGAGTAAGGAAAGAGAAACAGTATCTGTAAGAAAAATGAATGAGAGATTAGAAAAAATAAGGAAGTAGTTATTTGTTCACAATAATTCCTGGGCTCCTGTGATAAAGTACAGAAACCAGACCTTTGGGGATGCGCAATACCCAACACATATGAATAAACCACACTTTCCTTAGTCTATTCTAATTTGGAAATGCTCCATCCAAATATTATTTTTTTCACTGTCACCATTAGTACTTAGAAAAAGATTGACAATAGAAAATTATGTGTATAGTAACCTTCTCAACTCTCTCTTGTCCTTGACATAGACACAATGTTCAGGTCCTGAAAGAAACCACCAGAGATGGAAGACTAATATGTTTATGAGAACCACCCGTCCTAAGATACAAATATCCAAAAGTGAGTTTACGGCCCTCTAGCTTATAGACAGACTTTCTTTGGACAACTGGACAGCCCAACATCACATCTAATTCTGGTGAACATTTGTAGCAATGGTGACTTGTCAGCAAATGTGTTTCCTCAATGTAAAGAGGTTCACTTAATGAGCACATCTGCTCAATTGGGATTACAGGTCACTTAAATAAATCTGTAGGCCAAAGTAAAAATTATTATTCAGTAATGGTTCAGATTGGTATCACCCAGCTATTTCTTATTTTTATTTTTAACCTGGGTAGTGGCTAACCACAGGGAGTATTTCAGATTTACAGAAATATAACGAACATGTGTCAAAATCATAGTCAAAGTTAAGCAACCAACTGCCAGAAGAGCCCCAAAATAGTCCAACTTGATCTGAGCATCCTAAGATTTGAAGGCAATTAAAAAGGAAAAGAATGTAATCCATGTGTAATGCTGTCAAGACATTAACTATTGTTCAGCTAAGTGAGGCACTGATCCCAGTATCAGCAGTGACTGCTGGCTTCTTCCAGTCACAGCTGGACTTACTGATATTACATTCTAAGTGTGTCACAGGACACGTTTAACAAGAAATAGTAAATAGCACCCCTATTCAGTAAACAGGGTTTACTGAGAGAGATTTTTATTTACTTACACATTGGACAAAATTATTTGCAGTTATGTTAAGAGGAGGGAGGAAAGATGCTGATTAGCATTTGAAATATTCCCTGGCTAAACCAAATCAAAAGCTCACAGATATGGTATTATTCATATTATTCAAGGAAGCATGGTTTGTATCATGTTCATGTGGACCATACCAAAATAAGAAATGAGTAATGAGGGGAAGACTATTCAGCATCAAGATGGTTACAGGATATGTACTGGGCTGTCTAGACAGCTATGAGGATGTTAAAAGAATTTAGTAAACATAATGTTCTAAGCTTTTCCTATAAAATTAAAGTAAGATATAAGAAGAGCTTTCAAAAAATAAACTTACTGTTGGTTTTTCAGACTTTGTTTTCAAGTGCAGCACAATATTCCTCCAAGTGGAGAAAACTGGACAGGATATTAGCATTTTACTTTATATTTTGCTTTCCAGATAGGGTGAAAGATTAGCAGAAATTTGCTGGAGAGTCTTTGAAGCAAGTTAGCACTAGACAAGTTACACTAATACCTGGAGGGAAGGAAGGCTTCCTTGGAGCAGCTTACAGTTCTAACATTGACACATGGAAGCCTGATTTTTTTTATCCCTCCCTCTAGGTTCAAAAGCCCCAGAAATCATTATCTAGCTCAGCAAGGACACCAGCAATATTCCTACTTCTAGAAAGCAGAGATTGGAATGCTGGGCACATAATTATCAATCAGGAAGCCGAGGTAGGCAAAAAAAGGAGAGCCAGCAGAGAACACAAGCTGGGAGAATCAAGTGCTACCATGTGCAGATGAGATGTGTAAAAGACAGGAAGACCTACAGAAAGAGTAATCCAAACAACTCAAATGGCTTGTAAAGGTACCACCATCAGTGTAGATGTTGGGTACAGGGAGAGACTGGGGGACCTGACCATTGTCAAAGAGAGAGAAGGCCACGTCTGGCCTTTGTAATATGAGATCAGAAAGGAACACCTCTTGAGCTTTTACCCCTGCTGCACACGTCACTGCTACGTGGCCCTCAGCTCAGTCACTTCATTAACTTCTTGATTTCCAAATCTCTAAGATAACATGAAAGTAACTAATATTTCAAAAGAAATTAAAATGACACAAAAGCCTATAGACCCTACTATGCTTACCTAATTTAGGTTTTTTTGTTTTTAAAGAAAAATGTGAAATTCCAAAAGAAAAAGGAAAAAAACCGATCTTTCTGGTTCACATCTTCAACCTTCCTCCCCTTCCTCTCCTCCTCATCCTACTCATCCAAACCCAGACACTAACAGCTCTTTTCTCCAAAGAGCTCAGCCTGTTGCAAAGAAGTCTGGGTACTATCCACGCAGGTAAGAAGCCATCAGGATGACAAGGTGCGGAGGGAAGAAGAGCAGCAAGTCAGAGCCCAGTTGGCTTCTGCCTGTCCTGACTGGCAAAAGCAGAGAGCAAAGCCTCAGACCGGTTCTCTGACAGGGCCCAACGCCGCTGCAGCACCCCCCCCCCCGTGTAATTACACACTTGAGTGACTGGACTCTGAAGAAAATTGAAGGCCTGAGCTCCGAACAGCTGCCATTTTCTCTCTCCATCACACCAGCGTGATTACTTGAGAAATGAACAGCCCCGGCTCAAAGCTACTCCAGAATTCTCAGAGGAAATATGGCTCCGTGTTCCAATAATGAGATTCTTAAGGCAAGCGTTACTTACAATCACTCCGCAAAAGGAGCGAGCCGAGCCCCTATATCTTACAAATTAGAATTTAAGAAACCCAGCGACAGTCTTGGATGATCATTACTCTTCTGCTGCTCCAAAGATTCTGGGCTTTGGTCTATTTTTAGTGCAGAGAACTGTTAAATCCTTAAAAAGGTAATCATAATAAAATGAACTCACCATAATTAGCTTCCTCAAATTTCACCCCATTTTAGGTCCAAACTGACAGATTCTTTCACAACCTCATCATTACCTTTTTTTTTGCCAGAAAGTCTTGGCTTTATCCTAATGAGAATTAGCAATCCTTGTATTAAAATTTAAAAAAAATCCAAACAGATATTTCTTCCCTCTTTTGATTGAGAAAAAAATAATATCACTTCTTCGCTGAAACCTGTCACTTGGGAAGGTGAAGTATTACATATGCTGACTTTTTCCCCCTTTCAAATGCATCTTCAGGTTTCCCTACTATCTAGCCATCCAGGGTAGCAAAGATAACGAACTCTCCTTGTAATTACATACTTTTAAAAGTAGCTATTCCTAAATGTGTTGTATCTTTGAGTTAACCAGGTAGGCAGATAAATGAATGTGTGGCACTGTTGTTAACCAGAGATACGAGGTAGACAGCTTCCCTTCATTCTGAACTATGAAATAAAAAATAGCGTCATTTATAGATTTTTTCCTCCATGAAGAAATTATGGAATTAAGGTATCAAGAATACCAATGTCACAAAGGGACAAAAAAAGAACACTTGAGGAGCAAAAAGGTGCTATAGTCCCCCCAAAAAATGGAGAGGCAAGGCTGTTACTCAGGAAGTGGGAAATTCCAAGAGTAGTCCTATTGTTCTCTGATTCCTGTAATTAACTCAACCAGAAAAATCTAGGAATAAAGGACTTACAAACTGTATTTTAAAATCCTTGAGTCCACAAAAATTCTATCCACTGGCCAAGTGTACATTAGTCCTATTCACGTTTACTAGTTTGACTTCTCATTCTCACTTAGTACCAATTCTCATATTACTAGACAATGGGGACAAAAACATGTATTTGCTACCAGTACAATAACCTAAGGTTAGACTTCTATGTAAATAAAATAGAAAGGGACCAAAGAAGATACAGGATAAATTTAAATTTCTTTGGTGTGGAGAGGCAGTACTGGATTTCTAACAGTTATTTTTTGTTCTTAAGTTTTGGACATGCGAGCTATTGTTGATATTCATGGAACAAGTTATAAGGAAAAAGGACATTGGCTAAGATAAGACTAAATTTTAAAGTTACTATCATAAGTGACAACAGGAATGGAGAAGTACAGGGCATCTCTAAGGAGAGTCAAGACATCTGAGTTCCTGCATGACTGTATGCATAACAGCCAGAACAATCCTTTCCTGACAGGAGCAGGTTCCTTCAGGTCAACGACAAAGGTAGATGTAAGAAATTGTCAATCCACAACCCAAGCCCCATTCATCCCACAAATAAAACACAGGAACTTTTCCACTGACCATAGCCATAAGGAGAAATGCTTTTTCCATATCATCAACCATCCTTACAGGTTCTGAAAAATGGTACTCACAATAAGCATTGTGACAAGAAGATTCTTCTTGGTGACTTGAGCATGAGAGAAGATATAGTTCAGTACAGTGTTCATGTCGCTCTTGTTTTCCTCCCGAAGGGCAAACACACATTTGTCATAGTGCCCTATAAGCACAAAAAATAATCAGACCTCATGCATGTTCACATTTACATGTTGTTTTTTTAATGTCTATAATTCACTGGTAAACACCAAGAGTAAATATCTTAAAAATTTTCTTGGATGGATTTGCACAGAATGGGCAGTATGGCTTAATAAAAGGAATTCTGGACTAGGAGTCGTCAAGCAATCTGGTACAAGACATGGGCTCAAAGCTTAGTTCATTTACCAATCTACTAAGTGCTCCTTTGCAAATCACTTTACCTCTCTGAGACACATTTTCATTAAAAAAAATTGAGAGGTAAAAAGAGACTGAGGGATTGGGACTAACTCCATCCCCTCACCTAATACTCTCATTAGCTTCCTGGAATGATTTTCTTAGAAGAGAGGGCTCTCACAGCAATCAGACTACATGGAGATAAAAGACACCCAAATTGGTAAGAAAGAAGTTAAACTGTCACTATTTGCAGATGGCATGATATTATACATAGAAAACCTTAAAGACTCCACCAAAAAATTACTAGAACTAATAACTGGATTCAGCAAAATTGCAGGATACAAAATTAACATACAGAAATCTGTTGCACTTCTACACACGAACAACAAACTAGCAGAAAGAGAAATCAGGAAAACAATTCCATTTACAATTTATCAAGAATAAAATACCTAGGAATAAACCTAACCAATGGGGTGAAAGTCCTGTACTCTGAAAACTTTAAGACAATCATGAGAGAAATTAAAGTCATACATAAATGGAAACCTATCCCATGCTCTTGGATAGCAAGAATTAATATTGTCAAAATGGCCACCTTGCCCAAAGCAATTTACAGATTCAGTGCAATCCTTATCAAAATACCTATAGCATTTTCCAATGAACTAGGGCAAATAATCCTAAAATTCATGTGGAACCGCAATAGACCCCTGAATAACCAAAGCAATCTTGAAAAAGAACAAAGCTGGGGGTATTAAGCTCCCTGACTTCAAGCTATACTACAAAGCTACAGTGACCAAAACAGTATGGCATTTGCACAAGAACAGACTCATAGATCAATGAAACAGAACAGAGCCCAGATACAAACCCACACATATATGGTCAATTAATATACGATAAAGGAGCCATGAATATACAATGGTGAAAAGATAGCCTCTTCAATACTGGTGTTGGGAAAACTGGACAGCTACATGCAAGAGAATGAAACTGAATTACTGTCTAACTCCATATACAAAAGTAAACTTGAAATTGATCAAAGACCTGACTATTAAGTCATGAAACCATAAAACTCTTAAAAGAAAACCTAGGCAAAAATCTCGAACATAAGCATGAACAATTTCTTCCTGGACACATCTCCTTGAGCAAGGAAAACAAAATAGAAAATGAACAATTGGGACTACATCAAACTAAAAAGCTCTGTACAGCAAATGACACAATCAGTACAAGAAAAAGGCAATCTACAGTATAGGAGAATATATTTATAATAAAGGGTTCTGATCCTGTAACATCTTCCTATGCTGACATTTAGTAATTGTATTAGTGGGGGTGAGGATTTAATAATACAGGTAACTGGTGAACCACTGTGTTGTATACTTGAAACCAATATAAGATCGGATATCAATGATACTTCAATAAACAAAAAATAAAGAAGAGAGGGCTCTCTGTTGCTTAAAAAAGAAGTGTCAATACCATTAAACCAATGATCTTTAAAGTTCACCCCAGCTTGAGATTTTAATTCCATGTCTGACTCACTAAATATGTCTACCCTAACTAGATGGAAGCTCAAAAATAAAACCACACAAACCTATTAATATACATAAGAAGGATGGCTACTACCTCTGAAATTAACATTTTCCTCTCTAAGACCATGAAACAGCCAGGCAATGCCTAGGAATCCCAAATCCAATGATCTAAGGTATAGATCAAGGAGAACCTAGCATTAAGTCAAAAGGTCTGTAGAGAGAGTAGTTATGTATATTTTCAGTGGCCTTTCATAAGGCCACCAGGGACAAGTCAGTTCTGGGTAGAAAGCTGTTTTGCAATTGAAGTGTAAGATTCAGGTACACTGTAGTGAAATCTACTATGGTATATGAGTAATATTCAGTTCTTTAGAAAACAGGTTATCTCAGAATTAAATTTCCAGGTAGAGAACTAGTGTTTGAATAGTTTTAAGTGTCAGAAATTTTTGTCATTTTTTTAAAATTGAAGTATCATTGATATACAACCTTACATTGGCTTCAAATACACAACACAGTGGATCAACAGTTACCATGTTATTAAATCCTCACACCCACTAGTGTGGTTACTATAGGAAGATGTTATATAATCATCGGCTATATTCTCCATACTGTACTACTATCTCCATGACCAACTTACATTATGATTGAGATTTTTGTGCCCCTTTATCTCAAGTGTCAGAATTATATGAAATCAAGAAAATACTAAAGGATTATCACCTCAGTTCATCCACATTAAGTTTCAAACCAGAACAATGGTGTTCAAATTGCATTACCATGGATTCCTAAAATACTGAGTACATTCAACCAAGGCAACTCTGCTTTTACTGTTTTAAATATTTGAAATTGATTGATATTTTTACTCAAAGAAAAACTAAGTACATTTGAAAAACAATGGATTGCAATATATCTAGAGAGCTGCCAATTTCATAAAAGACCTATTTAGAACAAAATGGAAGCTGTTTAAATTTTTCATATTTCTCCCAACCTTTCTCCTAAGCTTTGAAGTGAACAGAAATATACTTTCATAACAGGAATTACTAGGACTACAGGAAATAAAAAGACTATATACTCAGAGAAGAGGCAGCAAAGACATGTATGTAAACAGAAAGACAGAAATGATACCTAGAGTTCTCTTTTTAAAAACTTTTTACAGTGAAATACACATATGAAAGAATAAATACTCTTGTAACTGTCATCTAATAGAATATTTTTAGTATTTTTGAGATATCCTATGTGATCCTCCTTGAAAACAACTACTAACTGAATTTCATGTTAATTTTTTTGCTTTTCTTTATATTTATCACAAATGTAAATAGTTTCATTTTTCCTGTTTTTTCAACTTGGTAACAATAGAATCACTGTGAATGGATCATTGTATAACTTTTTTCTTTCTCTTAGCATTATGTTTTTTGAGATTCATCCTTTTGTTCACATGTGCATTGTGGTTCATCCATTTTTCGCAGCTGTATAATAATACACTGTAGGACCATACTATAATTAAATTATATATTCTACTTGTGTATATTTGAATTGTTTCCTAACTTTTTGTTGAATAAAGAATGCTGCCCCAAACAGTTCTAATATATATGGCTCCTACTAAACATGTGTAAAAGTCTCCAGAGTACATTATCTAAGATTAACTACTAGGTTGAAGAATATAAAAAAGTTCAACGCTATTCAGTATTAACAAACTGTACTCCAAAGTGATTTGCAATTTGGAAATCTGCACTTCAACTTACAGAAGCAATGGAATAAGATGATGTGTTTTGTAAGTATCTTCACTCACTTCTTGGCTTATATTTGCAGTCTATTTATGGTACCTTTTCTTAAGTGGGGTTAAATTAATCAAACTTTCATAGTTTGCACTTGTGTCTTATATGAAAAAATCTTCTCTACCCTGAGGTTATAAGAATATTCTTCTAAAAATTTACTGTTTTTGCCTATTTAGTATTTTTAAGTCTCTAATTAATCTGGAATTGCTTTCTGTATGTATGGTACAAAGCAGGGATCCAGTTTTTTTTTTTGGTTTTGCAAATGCATAACTCCTTGTCATTTATTGAAAACCCACTATCATTTACTGAAAAATCAAATCCTTTCTTCATGCCTGTACTGTTATAAAGTTAAGTTTTCATATATGTGTGGATCTGTGGCTATTGTCTTCCATTGGTCTATTAATCTGTCCCTACAACAATATTATAGTATTTCATTAATATGGCTTTCTATTAAATCTTGACATTTGACAGGACAAAGTCCTCAATCTTGTATTTCATTTGTAGCATCTTATTATTATCAGATTTTGCTTTCATGTAAATTTTAGAATTAATTTGATAAATTCCATGAAAATACCTTACTAGGATTTTTATTGAAAAGTCAATGAATCTACAGATGAATTTAGGAAGAATCAATACTTTTCAAGTTTATATTCCAATCTAAGACCATATTTATTTAGATCTTCCTTGTTATTCTTCACTGATTGTAATTTTTTACAAAATTGGCTTGTAGAGAGGGGCGGAGCCAAGATGGCGGTGTGAGGAGAGCAGTAGAAATCTCCTCCCAAAAACACATAGAGCTATGAAAATATAACAAAGAAAAAATCTTCCTAAAATAGAGACCACAGGACACAGGACAACATCCAGACCACATCCACACCTGCAAGAACCCAGTGCCTTGCAAACGGGGTAAGATACAAGCCCCAGCCCGGCGGGACCCGAGCGCCCCTCCCCCCGGCTCCCGGCGGGTGGAAAGAAACCGGAGCGGTTTTTTTTTTTTTTTTAGTGCTTTTTGGAAGCCTTAAAGGGACAGGGACCCCGTTGCTAGGGAGGCAGGGTGGCGGGACCGGTGAGCGGGTGCCTGGGACCGGCACTTGAGGACGGAGGAAATCGCGCGTTTTTCCCCTTTTTTTTTCTCTTTTTGGCGAGTGCTTTTTGGAAGCCTTAAAGGGACAGGGACCCCGGTGCTAGGGAGGCAGGGCGG